GGTTAAGATCCCCTTACCGGTCATCTTTTAAAAAAAAAAAAAAAAAAGTAATCAGACAAAAGACAGGGCACCTATTACAGGGCAGTCTTGCTTCTTAGAAGCGAGGGGGCACCATTACACTGGCAGAAAATCTTGCAATAGCAACGGTAGACACCAGAACACAATAAAATATCTTCAAAGTGCTGAAAGAAAGATGTCAACCTAAAATGCTATCAGCAAAGCTGAAGTTGAAAAATGAGGACAAAATAATGGTGTTTTCATTTAAACAAAAATAGAGAAAATTTACAAACAACAGGACAGCACTCTGGGAACTTCTAAAGAATATATTTCAAAAGAAAGAAAGTAATTACAACAGGCAGGAGGATGAAAGAAGGAATAAGGAGCAAATAAATTGGTAAACACGCAGATAACATAAATCTAAACGGCCTATATAAAAGTAATAATGTCTAAATTCTGAGAATTAACAAAAGGAGAGCTAAAATAGTGGACAACAACGGCATGTTTGGGAGGGTGAACAAAGTTAATGCTCCAACATCTTTGTGTTTTTCAGTGGGGAGGGTGATTAAAATAAGACAAAAAGAGTATATAACTAATGACTAAGAGAGGAGAAGACTAAAAATAAAAATAAAGAAAAAACTCAATTTTTTAAAAAGCAAGAAAGAAAAAAATGAGTGAACTAGAAAGCCAAAATAAGATGTAGAAATAAGTTTAAATACATCAGTAATTGCACTCAATATAAATGGACCAAACCATCAGTTCAAATACAGATAATAAAATAGAATTTTAAAATGTATCCCCGTACTGGCCAGCCACAAAAGAAAAGAAACACATGCACTAAACTTCCTAAAATGTAAAAAGCCAGAAACTGTTTATATGAGAAATATCTAAAACGTGATACAGACAAGTTTAAAGGAAGGAAAAATATGCTAGGCAAAAGCTAACTAGAAGCAAGCTAAGATAGCACAAAAAAATGATAAATTGGCAAAAAGCATTATTAGGGATAGAGAAGGCAACTTCATAATAATAAAAGATTCAGTTCAATAGCAGACAATAACAATTCTAAATCAGTATGTACGTAATGAAATAACTTCAAAGTATATAAACAAGGGGCCAGCCCGTGGCTCACTCAGGAGAGTGTGGTGCTGATAACACCAAGGCCATGGGTTCGGATCCTATATAGGGATGGCCAGTTTGCTGACTGGCTGAGCATGGTGCTGACAACAGCAAGCCAAGGGTTAAGATCCCCTTACTGGTCATCTTAAAAAAAAACACAAAAAACTGTAGTCAAATTTCCTACCCTCTTGACACTGTTATGATGGAGATCAAGCTTCAATATGAGTTTTGGGGAGACATTCAAATGATAGCACCTATTTTTTTCCCCTTGAAAGTAGAATGGTTAGATTAACATATATATATATATATATATATATGTTACATTTTTATCTATGAAATATTGCATTATATTGTAAAAAGCCTTTTGGAATTATAATCCAATTAAAATAACTTCTTTTTCTAATTAATTGTTTTTTAATATTGCCTTCACTGATATAGCACTAAGATTTTTGGAGTATTAAATTATAAGTATGTCATATTATTATATATGTCTTTTTTTTCAAGGTTGATTCTACAACTTGGAATATATTTCTGTAGTGATACAGTCTTGGTAAATAATATATATAATATATATAATTATATAAAATATAATTATATAAATTATATATAATTATATAATTATATTATATTATTATATATTATATTATTATATATATTAATATATATATATAAAAAAATATATATATATATATAAATAAAATTGGTAGAATCATAGGCAGAAATTGACTAATCCACCTTCATAGTAGGAGATTCCAACACACTGTTGTTGATTACGGATAGATCAAGCAGACAAAAAAATTAGAAAACAGAAAATTTAAACACCATAAGAATAACAAGTATGATTTATTGGACATATATAGAACCCTATATTCAGTAATTAGAGAAAAATACACTTTCTTCCCAAGCACACATTTACAAAAATTGATCCTGTATTGGTTCAAAAACAAAATCTCAATAAATTTTAAAGAACCATAATCTTACAGGCCAAGTTCTTTGGTCACATTAAATTAGAAGTCAAAAACAAGAGGGCTGGCCCGGTGGCGCACTGGAGAGTGTGCCGCTTGGGAGCACGGCGGCGCTCCTGCCGAGGGTTCGGATCCCATGTGGAGACTGGTTCCCGCTCACTGGCTGAGCGTTGTGCGGGCGCAACACCAAGGGTTGCGATCCCGTTACCGGTCAGTAAAAACAAAAAGGAAAAAAAAAAAAAAAAAACAAAGAAGTCAAAAACAAGAGAATTTGAAGGTGGGGGAAGGGGGGAGAAGGAGGGAGGTCAGGGATTAATTGGGTGGGGGACATGGGGAATAATCACAATTTGTGGTAGTGGGCATGCTGATAGTATTGATCTGGCCATCACATCTTGAGCACAAGTGGTGACAGCTTTGTACCCCATGAATATACATAACCAATAAAAAAAATTTTTTAAATAATAAAAAAAGAATTTTTAAAAAATCTCTAATAAATTGCCATAACACTAGCTACTTTAACAATTCCTACACTTTACTACCTTAAGCTAGTAGATGTTTTTTGTTTACATATAGTTGTGTGTGGTTGTACTGGTCAGTGGACTTACCCACATGAAGTGATTCAGAGGCCAGAGCTCCTTCCCAAGTGTGGCTCCTCAACCCTCTTAGGATCTCAGTGTCTTCTGTATTCAACTACTCAGGCTTTCTAAACCTTTTATTGTCTATTTTGATAATGTATTTTTCTGAAATGTTTTCCATTTTGTCTAAATTTTCAAATGCACTGACATGAAGTTATTCACAATAGTCTCAATTTTTAAAAATTTCAGCTAAATCTGTAGTTATGTCCTTTTTGGCCCCAATAGTATTTATTTGTGCTCTTTCTCATTTTTCTTGATATATCTTGCCATAGATTATTAGGCTTTTCAAAAAGCCTTTCTGTTGTGTATATATGTTTTCCCTTTTATTTTTAGATTTTGCTTTTATCATTATCACCTTTCTACCACTAATACAAGTCAAATTAAGTTGTGCAGCAAAACTGAATGATCTAAAGCATTTTTTATGCTAACTAAATTAATCTGTGCCTAAATATTAATTACATTTAGAAAATTGTACTCTATAAACATAGTTGTTACATTATTTTGTATTTTCTGAGATCCTTTCTTTTAGCTTCTTTTCTAATCAAGGACTTTCTGTTGCAAGGTATAGAATTCTTAACTCACACTAGCTTAAGCAAAAAAGAGAACATATTGGCTTGATAGTTGAGAAGTCCGGTGGGACGGGGTGCAGATGTTCAACAATGCCGTCAGGAATCTCAGCCACGTTTTCTCTGGGTCTGTTTCATCTCATGTAGCCTTTCCCAATGTGTGGCACAGTGACCACCAGACAGGATGGTATCTGGTAAACCTAGCATCCCCAGCAGAAAAAGAACCCAGTGTAAGGGCTCCAGCACAAGTTCCAGGATTTTCTGTTTCAGCCTGTACCCACCCCAACAACTAGTCACTGTGGAGAGGGTGGGGGAGTCAACTGTCAACTCCAGTCGACCTACTTGAGCTAAGAATAGGGGAGAGGCAGTTCCCCAAAGCAAGGGGTGTATGAGTGTGTGAGAGAATGAGGTGAGGGGTAAGGGGATAGATAAGTGAAGGGAGTAATATCAGGGAGATGCTGGGCAGACAAGAACACCTAATGTCCCCTGGGTCTTAATAAATCTTGAATTGGCTTAACAAAGGAGCCAAGCTTGGCTGTTCATTGAGGGGTTCAGGAAAAGCTAATGGGAATGGGAGTATTAAAATGTTATAGGAGGAGGGCTGACCGGTTAGCTCACTTAGTTAGAGCACTGTGATGATAACACCGAGCACCAAGGTCAAGAGTTTGGATCCCTGTGTCAGCCAGCACCAAAAAAAAAGAGGTTATAGGAGGGGCTGGCCAGTTAGCTCAGTTGGTTAGAGCATGGTGCTGATAACACCAAGATCCAGGGTTTGATCCCTATACCGACCAGTTACCAAAAAAAAAAAGCAGGGGGGGGGGTGTTATAGGAGGGAAAACTACGCAGAGGGATAATCACAATGATTACTTCTTTTCCATTTGGAGCAGTTCCTTCATCCACATGGTGGTCTGGTACCATAGGAGCACAAATACTCCATACTCTACCTTATGTTTCTGCCAACTGAAATTTCACCTTTAAAGAGATATCTTTTTTATTAAGGTACTATAGCTCCAGGATTCCCAAAGGTGACTGTAGCTACTAGTCACATGTAGCTATTTAAATTAAAATATAAATTATTTAAAATTAAATAAATATGAAGATTCAGTTTCTCATTTACACTAGCCACATTTCAAGTGCTCAGTAGCCACATGTGGCTACCATATTGGACAGCTCAGATGTGGAACATTTGTATCATCACAGAAAGTTCTTGTGTGGGACAGCACTGGCTTAGAACAGTAAGCTGTTACCAGTAATTTGTTGCTATTAGGTGTCTTTCTAGTGACAGATATTATAAGGAGAATTGGGTGAGAAATTTTGATTATGACAGAAGAAATAAGAGAAGTAGCCTGGGACCATCCCATGGCCCCGTTTTCACTTCTTTAAAGGATTTCAGCTCCCTTCAGACTTTTCTCTGGATCTCCAGATGGGACAGTCTCTGCCATCACAGAGCAAGAATCCCTGGTGATCTCTTTGAACCAAGCCAAGAAGGGCAGTCTAGGACCATATGTCTAAGAGCCATCCAAGAGCAGTGGTGCTTGGAGAAAGGGGGCTCAAGAGGCTGTTGGTGTCAGGACCCTTAAGGAACATTTTGTCTAAGGCACTCAGTGCCCACTGGCATCAGGTGTCGTCAGTTTCCACCCCTTGTCGTGCACTTGATCATCTTTCAATGTTACATAACTCTGATAAAAACTGAATTTTTTCTTTTCTTTTTTCTTCTGCAGACCCATCCCCCTTTGTTCTACTGTTGTGCTAAATAGCCAACTTGATAAAGTTGAAGGAAGGAAATTTTTTGTTTCCTGTAATATTCATAGTGTTGATGGGAAGACACTATACTCAGAGACAACAGGTAAGAAGCTGCCACTTTCTCTTTGGTTGGGTTTGGTTGGGTTTTTGTTTTTGTTCAGGGTTTTTTGGGGGTATTGTTTTGTTTGTTTGCTTGGTTTTGTAACACACACATGCCCAGAAATTCTTAATTCTCCATCATGCAAAGAATAAGTTAATAGTATTCTTATATATTGCTGGTAAAGGGCTATTTGCAAATATCTATCAAAATTACAAAGTTATGTCCCTTTTGACCCACTTCCAGGACTTGATCTCAGAGGTGTACTAACATGTAGAAATTACAATATATTGCGTTGCTGTAGGATTTCAGTTATGTGTTACACATGAACGTTGTTTGCAATAGCAAAAGATTGGCAAAACATAGATATCCATCAGTGGAAGACTGGTTAAAGTACAGTTCATCCATAAACTACATTGTATGAGTGTTCCATAAAAAATATTGTGGTGCCATAATTAAGAATAAGGAAACTGTTTGATACAGAGCTCTCTCGTTAACATATACTGAATGAAAAACTGCAAGATGGGCCAGCCCGGTGGCGCACTCGGTAGAGTGCGGCGCTTGGGAGCGCGGCGGCGCTCCCGCCGAGGGTTCGGATCCCATATAGAGCCCGGTCCGCTCATGGGTGGAGCGCGGTGCGGGCGCGACACCAAGGGTTGCGATCCCGTTACCGGTCACGAAAAAAGACAAAAAGGAAAAAAAAAACAAAACTGCAAGGTGCAGGACAGTGAATATAGTACATTATCATTAATGTAAAAAAAGTAGAGATGTTTTTCCCATTCTCTTCCTTTTCCTCCTCTTTCCTTTTTGTCCTTTCTTCCTTCCTAAATAATTTATTCCAAAAGCCATCAGGTGGAGTTAGGCACGGTAGGCTCAGGGATGAGGGGAGGCCCCAGGGGAGGAGTGATTACAGTGGCCCAGCACAGGGTGACGGAGGCTGGAAGGTAAGGAAGGTGTCTGATGGAGATTGGCATGGGTGTCCGAGCCCATGCCGGGTGTGGGTAGCGTTGTACGAGTTGGCAGCAGTTATGGGAGCCAGGTACTTACTGTCAGAGAAGAGGGTTACAGATAGGGAAAGGGAAAATAGAATGAACCCTATGTAGTTGGATGGGAACTGGGGATACCGGACATGTAAGTTTTCCCAGTCTTTTGCTCTTGCAAATAATTATACTGAGTAACTTCAGAAATTGTCATTTTGCACACATTTTGGCAAGTTACTCACCAGTTGTTTGTGGGAAATATATCTTTGTACTGGTCTTGTTACTGAGCACACAGGGCTGGCTGCCTGCCGCCTTTTNAGATGTTTTTCCCATTCTCTTCCTTTTCCTCCTCTTTCCTTTTTGTCCTTTCTTCCTTCCTAAATAATTTATTCCAAAAGCCATCAGGTGGAGTTAGGCACGGTAGGCTCAGGGATGAGGGGAGGCCCCAGGGGAGGAGTGATTACAGTGGCCCAGCACAGGGTGACGGAGGCTGGAAGGTAAGGAAGGTGTCTGATGGAGATTGGCATGGGTGTCCGAGCCCATGCCGGGTGTGGGTAGCGTTGTACGAGTTGGCAGCAGTTATGGTGATGGAGATTGGCATGGGTGTCCGAGCCCATGCCGGGTGTGGGTAGCGTTGTACGAGTTGGCAGCAGTTATGGGAGCCAGGTACTTACTGTCAGAGAAGAGGGTTACAGATAGGGAAAGGGAAAATAGAATGAACCCTATGTAGTTGGATGGGAACTGGGGATACCGGACATGTAAGTTTTCCCAGTCTTTTGCTCTTGCAAATAATTATACTGAGTAACTTCAGAAATTGTCATTTTGCACACATTTTGGCAAGTTACTCACCAGTTGTTTGTGGGAAATATATCTTTGTACTGGTCTTGTTACTGAGCACACAGGTCTGGCTGCCTGCCGCCTTTTAAAAACAAACCATTCAAAAGTCAAATGCTGGGGAAAAAGGAAGCCAGCTTTTATTCAGGAATACCGGTGACCTGAAGAGAGATGTTAGGCTCACCCATCTCTCCAGTAAACCTGAAGGAGGATGGCCAGACTAAAGCCATCTCAAAGACTCGGATATACCGAGGGGTTTTTAAAGAGGCAGGTTGAAGGAATGGAACGTGGGAAATGAAAAGCAGGAGGGAGGGGGATGTGCAAAAGGCCAGGTGCAAATTCTCACCAAGGCTCTGTCTGATTTCTGATTCCATCATTGATGTTATCTCAGAATCTGGGTAATTTGTGCAAGCCTGCAGCTTCAGGCTGGCTGGAAAACAGCTTTACATTTATGTAAATAATGTCTTGCCCCATAATCAAGGTTCAAAATATCAAATAACCAGTGGAAAAGAAGGAACTCAGAAAAATGCATGCCAAGAAAAAAACTGTCCTTTTAAAATTTGCCTACAGGCCATGCAGTTTTAGATCCCAACATGGCTTCAGTTCTGCTCATTCCAACGGTCTCACAATTTTTCTTTAAGCTTGAAATTAATTCAAAATAAAAAGTAATAAATGGGAGGGAGAGGAAAATACATATTATACACATACTGTGTATATTACACATAATAATATGTGCATAGACTATTTCAGGAAAGTCACACATATAACTTGTTACTTACTTCTGGGAAGTGGACTGGGAAGATTGGGAAGGAGATTCCACTGTACACCCTCTTGTATCTTTTGAAAGTGGTTATATGAATGGATTACCAGGTGAAGAGCTAGGTTTCATGGAGCCCAAAGCTTATACAATTTAAGAAGCCCAAATTAAGAAAAGGAATACAAAGTTAGATACAAAAATGAGAATGTATTTAAAATGAGCAAAGAAATTACAACATACTGCTTCTGTCTTGGAAATGCAGCTCCCTTCCTTCTGAGATCCCTATAGGCAATTTGCCAGAAATTTTACCTTAAAAATGCTGCCTGCTCACACCCTGGAGCATTGTGCAACTCCTAGCTCTCCCAGGGCCTCTGCAAGTGAGGGGTCCTTGAATCCTTACCTTCATTAGCCACAGATTTACACAAGTTAGATTACATATCCAGTGGTTTTTGTTTTTATTCTTCTCTATTTTAATGGACCTCAGATGCACAGGTTTGAATGAATCATAATCCTTGAGTTAGTACACATCATCACTGGTACATGAATAGTCATTTTTTGTTTATTCATTCACTAATAGATTTATTTTTTTATTTTTTTTATTTTTATTTTTTTCCTTTTTGTCTTTTTTCGTGTCCGGCAACGGATCACAACCCTCAGTGTCGCACCCGTACCGGACCGGGACCGGCAACGGGATCACAACCCTCGGTGTTGCTCCCACACCTCGCTCAGCCAGTGAGTGGGAACCGGTCTGTATGTGGGATCCGAACCCTCGGCGGGAGCGCCACCGCGCTCCCAAGCGGCGCACTGTAGCAGTGCGCCACCGGGCCGGCCCTAGATTTATTTTTTAAATTTAATAATAAACACATACCCGAGGACATACCATCAAACAAAAACCAGAATCTTAGTAATATTTTATCCCTGCCTAATTACTATTCTCATCTCATCCTCCTACTTAGAGATGATTCTGATCTAGAATTCTGTGTTTTTCATTCCTTTGTACCTTTTTATTTTTATTTTTTAAAGTTTTATCAAGAATACATGTATACCTAAGGAATATATTGTTTAGTTGTTTGTTTTTTAACTTTGTAGAAAAGAGATTGTGATATATGTGCTTTTCTGGGACTTGATTTTTTTTTTTTTCACTCAGCTTTGTTACTGTAGTTTGCTCATTTTTACTGCTGTTTAATACTCCATGTGTGATTATGCCGTGATGAATTTATCTCCTTCTGATAAAGGGCCTCTACCTATTATGAATAGGGCTGCTGTGAACATTCTTGTTCATGTCTCTCTGTGGTATATATGGTCAAGAGCTTGGCATATAGGAGCAGAATTTCTGGGTTGTAGGATATGTGAGTGTTCACCTTTACAGAGGAATGCCAAATTGTTTTCTAAAGCTGTGTCAAATTACTCTCCTACCAGCAATATATGAGATTCTTTTGATACCTCTCTTTTCTACTTATTGGTAAAGTCAGATTTCTTGATTTTTGCCAATCTAATGGTTATGAAATGGTATCTCAGTGTGCTCCTGATTTGCATTTCCCTGATTACCTATGGGGTTGAGTATCTCTTCATATGTTTAGTGACCATATTTGTTTCCCATTCTGGGAAATTCCTGTTCGTTCAGTTCATTTTTCTATTTTTCTCATTTCTTACTGATTTATAAGAGTTCCTTATATTTTTAAATTTTTTTCTTTTATTTTTTTCATTGTATGTTTGTGGGGTACAGTTTATTGTTTCAATATGTGCATATATTTATATATTTTATATTAAACTAATCCTTTTGTTGGATATATAAGTTGCACATGTCTCTTTCTAGTGTGTAATTTGTCTTTTATTTGCTATAATGTATCTTTTTTATGAACAGAAGTTTTGTGTTAATGTAGTTACATTTATTAGATTTTTCCATGTACAGTTAATACTTTTTGTGTCTTCATTTGTTTCCCCCATAAGTATCAGCTGTTTGCAGGAATGGTGGATAAAAGGAGCAGGACAGATATCATGAATAGTTTGAATCCACAGTCAATTTAAGAACTCCATTCCAGGCTGTAGTTTGTTTTTCCTGTCTCTCTTAAACCTTTCAATATCATAAAAGTACCAGATGGCTCAGTTGTAATTTTACTGATTTTTTCATTTCCCTGTTTCTTTTTTTTAAAAAAGATGAACAGTAAGGGGATCTTAACCCTTGACATGGTGTTGTCAGCACCACGCTCACCCAGTGAGCTAACCAGCCATCCCTATATGGGATCCGAACCCGTGGCCTTGGTGTTATCAGCACCGCACTCTCCCCAGTGAGCCACAGGCCGGCCCCTTCATTTCCCCATTTCTAATAGAAGTGGTAATGAACCATGAAATGGCCAAGTGGTAGAGGACCTGGTTACCCAGAGGGAGGTAATACAGTATTGTGATAGTCAAAAGTTGATTCTTAATTTGGCTGAAAAATGAAATGGGCAGATAGACTGAAGGTACAAATATGAATCTAAACACCTTCTTTTGTGTATGTCTTTCTACTTAGAGTGGTCCCACCAGATTGTAGTCAGTGGACTTATAATCATCTTCTGTTACTTTGTTTGTTTAGGCTTATTTATAAAGCTGGATCCTGATAAACGTTTGAAATAAAAGAGCTTCTGGTGAATTCCACACCATTCTGCATAAGGTTCTCCTTCGTACAGAAGAAGCAATTGTCCCCACACATGCTCTGCTCACCCACTGCTGAATACCCCATAGGGGAGAAGCCTGCTAACACTGCCCTTCCTGAATAGTCTTCTACATATCAGTCCAGGAGTTCAGTTTCCTCTTTCTAACCTTTTTAACACAGAATTGCTGCCTATGAGGGAGAGTATCAGTAGGTCTTTGTGTCTCCTTAGGATAAGTGTCTGGTT